CACCTGCACGTACGGTACCATGTCCCAACTTCCCGACTTCTCTCTACATTCGTGGCACCAAAACGAGAACCGTTTGATTGGTTGACCTTCCGTCATAACATTCACCCTATTGCCAAATACGGCATCCTAAAAAATACGTCATGCTTGTCACGGCCAGCGGTCTGCATTCGATTTGACTCACTCTTTTACAAGTCTCTAATTCTCATGGTAGTTGCTAAATACAACGGGTTCAGCCGAGGGGCGTGGCTTCGTATAAGTCGACGTCATGCATAATTCCAGTTGTGCTGCGTCATCATTCCTGATCTTGTTGTTGGCGAAGTGCCCTGGTTTAATCACACCGTAGAGGCATTGATCACACGGATAGCAAAATGTAGAAAAAAAAAAAACAATTAAGTTGTCCTGAAGGAAATATTGTTATATTGTACTACTTCGTTACAATAAAATGTAGAATAGATCAAGGGAATCAATATCCACCATAATTAAGCAACCAGATATAGGCGTTTTTTAATGTTTAAAAAGACCTCGTCTATTTGCCCTATATAAATTTATCTATTACTATTATTATTACTGTATTATTATTATTATTAATATTATTATTATTATTATTATTAAGTAGGCCTATAGAACATAATTAACCGGGCCGATTTATTTATAATTTATGTAAATCTGAAGTCTAATAATAATATCAAAGTTTTTATTTTATAAATTAATATTGTCTTCTGTTTTAAATCGTTTTAAGTATGTTAAGTTATTTTCCCATGCCTATTCTTCTTCTTCTTCATGTACCATAGCATATTATGCCGTAGGCGTTCATGGATTGTCTGTCAGTGTCTGTCCTGTCTTTTTCCATCTCTTTCTATCTCTCGCAATATTCCCAAGCTCTACTTCATTCTTCAAATTCAGCTTTTCTTTCATCCAATCAAGCATCTTCATCCTTTGCCTTCCTCTCGCCCTTTTCCCCTTCAATTCCATCTCGATGATATGTCTTTCAATTCCACCTTCTTCTCTTAGAATATGTCCAACAAATCTCCATTGTCTTTCTCTTATGGTGTTCATCAACTGCCTTTCTGTTTTCGCTTTTTGCAACACTTCTCCATTTGTCATATTCTTTTCCCACGAGATCTTCAACCTATTCTACCTAAATATTAAGGAAACAGTGCTTTTTTTAATATAATTTTTTAATGACTTCAAATATACTCGCTATTAGGACGACATTAAACAAATAAAATCGTCTCCATTATTTGATTGTTTGCGTCAGTCGTTTACCGAATTTTATTGAATATATTTACTGGAAAAAAACATATTTGTTTGTATTGATGTACTATTAAAATGTTCATCGCGTATTTGGCGTACGCTGATGTGCGCGATGTTGAATGCGAGCGGGAAAGTCCTGCAAACCACGCTCAGATATAATTTGCATTGGAAACACAACATCATATCTGAAGAAATCAATGTAAGTTTATTTTACTGTCAATTATAATCAAAACAGATTAGGCCTATTATAAATGGAAGGGAACCAAGAGCATTGACACATCGGCATTATTCGGGTGAATTATCATCAGACTCAATGTTACCTTTTCTCAGAATGTGAATGCCTGGTCCTATGCTGTAGTAGCACATTGAATGCGATTTTTTTTTTTTTTTGATCACGGTGTCTATATCCTGGATCAACCAATTTTAACATTCTTATCCTGTTCAGTGTCAGTAGGTATTAAATGAGAAATTTCTAATCTGTGTAAAAATTTGTAGGTCACTTCTCTTGAGTTTCAAAATATTATTTTATAACAGGGGTGGTATCAAACTAATAACATTGCCCGAGTAGTTGTATGGCCTGGGCTTTCATGACATTTATTTAATATTTTCTCTGCAATTAAATCAAGATTTTGGCACATTAAATTTTTTTAAATGACTGTTTAAACCGGACAGCATATTCAGAACAATGAGACATGTTTGAAAACACATCCTGTATACGCTTAATTAAAGGCTAATTAAAATAACGACCAGCTTATACAGAATCATTAAGAGGCCTCTTCTATTTTTTTTTTCCTATATTGAATGAAAATTTGTATTGCATATTTAAGGTATTAAATACAATAACTGATTTCAAAGTTAATAAAAGCCAAAAAAAAAAACAAAACAAAACAAAACAAAACAAAAAACAAACTAAGTCTACTGAAATAATAATTCTTGGTTATTTTTAATATTAGTTATATAAAATACAGAATTGTGAGGCAAGACCAAAAATCAATGAGGGGGAATAAATATAAGCTGGTAAATTATTTTTTTAGCCCAACTGAATTAACATAGCATATACCAGATAATTTTATGTACAGTACTATTAAGAATCAAAAAATAAAGCACGTATTAAGTGAAAAAAAAAACTTTCAACAGAGCTTCTTTATTTTTAAAAACAATTATGAAACATGACTTTCAGTTACCAAAATGATTTTCTATTACTAAATGTTGTTATTACTTTTTAGGGGGAAATCAAATGATATCCAAGGTTCCATATATAATTGCGACCATACATTTAGCCAATATAATGGGTACAAAATTTTAACAGATGATGGATTGGATATCCTAGACCCGGTTCGTGTCTACGAAATAGCCACAACGTCCAAGTTCGTAACAGATGAACATAAGTCTGCAGGCTTTGGTAAATTAACTCCATCAACAGGTATAATATTTACACATTAATTGCTGCTGTAACTGTCTATAAACTATCAAGATCTATTATTTTTAATATAATATATAATTTATTTTTATTATAGGGCCCTTTAAATAGGGATAATGTGGTGGGGTCCAGTATTGTATTCATTGTAATAGGGATAACACCCTCCTCACGCCTCCCAATCAACAGTCTACACCCCACGCTTTCAGGTCACCATTTGGTTTTTTTGCACTACATTTCTAGTATTGTTCATTTCAGATATTAACATCACAAGAATAATTTGGGCAACAACATCAAGAAGTGAGGATGAAGGCGTTGCAATCCACTACTCCGGAGTGCCCTTTAAGGTCATTGGATGCTGCAAGCTGCTCTGCCACATGGGCCCAGATAGTGGTTCTAATAAGAAAAAGAAAGAGAAGTTAAGGGCAGAAAACTAGCAAGGGTAATATCATAACTAAAATTTCAATAAAATGTGATAAGATGATAAACTAGTAATGTATGTATTAAGTATATCAAAATCAATTATCACTTGTTCTACGACAGAAAAAACATGCTATAGGAAATGTAGTTATGGCAGTTTTGTTTTAAAACAGTAAGCAATAACTATAATAAATGTAAACTTCAGCAATCATGTTGTTAAAGTTGTAATTTTCATTTATTAGGCCCATCATCCCTCCATTAAAATATATTGTTCATGTAAAATTGTTTTAACTTCCTTATTGAACAATACATTAAACCCCGGCTTCTCAACCTTTTTTAGGTGGCAACCTACTTTCAGAATGCACATTCTGTGGCAACCTAAGGAAATACAATATTGTCACACCAAAATGATATTTTCACGTTATGTGTTGATTACTTAGGCGCAGGACTTTAAGCCCACAAGCCACCAACCTGGGAAAAAGTCAAACACAAAGTAATGGTGATAAATCTTTTCGATTTATATTTACATAACACAAGACCTTTTATGTTGTGTGCAGAATGTTCAATTTTATAATATTATGGAGGAATGACTGCTCCAGTTATTTGAAATAGAGGGGGCCCTGGGAAGGACTCATTTCATTTGCACCATAATAATGTACATAAAAATATAGTTTTCATGAGGCAGGATTGCCCTAAAGTAGATTAATCTACTGTCATGACAACAACGAAAGATAAAAATACCATGTTAACAATTATAATACTAAATACAGATAGGGTGCTAATACCACCATGGTTGTGGCTGAGGTAAAAAAATTCATGATTATGGCACCTCTACAGTAGATGGCCAGAAGTTGCACTCTCATACCGTACTTAAATTTAAATAATTTTTTTTCTCCATATTTTATAATTAAAAAATAAAAATAGGTGGGAGGGTGACGGCTGGGTCCCCCATTGAATCCGCCACTGTGGAGAATAATTGGTACATTCATAATTTTAAAAACAATGACAAATTTTTGACTAGTGTGCAATCGACTTGGGCGACGCTGACTGGGCAAATATAAATTTTTTAAAAAGAAGCTTGTATGTCCCCGCCCAAAAACGAAATTAAAAAAGCAAAGAAGCAACTACAGCAATCATTTCAAACATTTTTGTTTATTTTTAACTGGCATGTCTTGTTAATGTAAGGTGTATACTTGCCTAATTTCAATTATCTTCCTTGGAGATATTGCAGATATATTTTATGTTTTGAAATGCGCTTTACCAATTTTTTCCTTTTTTTCCCTAAAAGTCGGATGCAATCTTGCGACAATCAGAATTGTTTTGGGCAACCCAAATTTGGGTTGCGACCCATAGGTTGAGAAGCAGGGCATTAAATGATGTGGTAATTCTTTGTCCCTGTCAGTCCAAGCATATTTTTACATACTGATTGTAATATATCATCTAAAATTTGTTGTAAAAAGTTTCACACTGTACTCAGTGGTACAACATTATTTGTTTTCAGTATTCCAATGTAAGTCCAATTTACAAGAGACAATGTACTGTTTGTTGTTGTTACCAATGTAATGTAATTTGTTGATAATTAGGATACTACTGGTACACATTTGCTGAGACTGTAGTGCTTAATGCAGTGTAAAAGAAAAACCAGAAAAACATTTCCATTTAAATGAAAAGTCACTGTCATACACTTTATTTTATAAGAACCAGTAAAACTTTGCCCAGACTCAAGATGTTCTTATTTTTTTTGCCAATTTTAGGCTCAAAATTTTCATATTTTGTACTTATTTTACACACTTTTCAGAGATAATCATTCTAGATAATAGCAGTAAATTACTGTACTGCATTTAATGCAATACAGTAATTTTAGAGATCATTATAGTCATAATAGCAGAGAGTATTAGTCATGTTCACTACTGCACATATTTATTGGTTTTACATTAAAAAAAAAAAAAAAATTACTGTAATAAAACCTCATCTGGATTTACCTCAATTTCGTCTTATTTTTTTCTTTATTTATAAGCAATTCTGGCCTCACTCAGTGTTATATTTTATGCAATCTATCTTTCTTTTTTCATGATCTTATGATTAATTAATTTATCAAGTTTATTGATATGCATATCATAAACAATTTAGTGTTTTCCTTAAATTTAATTATGAGTTATCATGGAAGACCTCCATGATCTAGGGGCCTAGGCCTATATCTCCTCCAAACAACAAGGCAACAAGCAAGGCCCACGGCCCAAGCAAAGCAAGTAAGGGCTTCTTTGCCATGTTGCTTGCTTGTTGTAAGTTGTTTGCTAGGCCTAGGTCGTAGGCCTAAGTCTGGCCTGAGGGCCTACTTTTAATTGCTGATTTTACTATTTTACTTAAACAAATTACCGTACAACAATCAAAGGCCCTTACTTACGTATTAGGTAGGCCTTGGTATGGCTGTACGTAGGCCTAGGCCGATTCATAATGTCGAACTGAACGCTATCTAGGCCAGACGAGGCATCTAGGGCCTAGACTTAGATCTTACACGGGCCATATACGCCGTCATAGGCGTAGCATCAAATGCAAAGGTCTCCTCAGCCTGCTCGCTAACATCGTCATAACACGGTGGTGTTGTTTTATTTTGAAGTGTTCAAAAGGTATAATATATGCATGACGTAAAACGTAGGAAGCCACGCCCCCTCGGCTGAACCCGTTGTATTTAGCAACTACCAATTCTCATCAAAAAAGTTTCTCAGCATAAACTGACGATGGTGGCGCTTTCCGAAATGCGCTAATGTACTACGAAAAATCCATAAATTAGAGACTTGTGGCAAGTCTACATGTGTTGGTATACAACGCTCCTTCAGCACCGCGTGAATTACGTCCTTTGCAAACAACGTTCTCTGCATGACGTTTTGAAAAAGCAGAATTTGGACATTGTGATTGGTCCTAACGCTCCCATGTGATCGTTTTTTGAGCGATCCGATCTTAAGCTTTGTTGTCATCTTTGTTCGGAGAAAATCCATTCATTTATTGATATAGTACAGCGAGTTTAAAAAGTTCAATAATTTTTTTGAGGTCTAAACTCAACCGAATCGTTCGCGAACAAGGAATGTATGAAAATATATTATTATAACTACTACGTGACATTATTAAATTTGAGAAATAATTAATAACGAATGGCGGCTAGAGATATTAAAATGTGTCTTTCAATTGTGTGTGGCGGTCGGTGCTAGGCCCTTCGCCGCAGAGCGTAGACTTGGTGCAGTGTGATTAGACACCGCCTGAACATCGTAATTTCATCGAGTTATGAATCTTGTTACGATTCTCGTCCGATCGTATTTTCAGGCCTAGGTTAGGTTGCGTTCTATTGCTAATTATATATGGTATGTGCACAACTGCGGTGTAATTGGTGATCCGCTACACTAGCGGATCACCTATTGTTATTGTACGAGATCTTTTTTTTTTTTATTCTACATTCTGACAAATAACTGTTCGCACGATATCTCAAATTTGCCGAGAGCTACGCACAAAACGACTACAACAAAACATTTGGCTTGGCCTGGAATAGTGACAATAAGCTTTGC